TAGATAATTAATTAATTGAAATCGCCTAGAATAGAGAAATAAAAAAAAAATTAAAAAAGAAAATTATGAGCTCTCAGTTTAATATAAAATTAATTTAACATAGAAATGTCTTTATATTTTAATGAAATTTCTAATATTCTCTAATCAATTTTTAAAAATAATTATTAAATATTTTTTACATATATATTTTAATTTTCTTTAAAAAAAAAAGAAAAAAGAGAAAATCAAGAAAGAATATTATTCTGAGTTCAAATCATGTTTAAGTGATCTTTTCTTTTTTCTTTTATATTATGCGATTTGATCAGTCTCGAATAAAGATCGTCATAAAATTTGTTCATAATAGCAATATCAACAATACTTTCCATTGTTGCCGTTAAATACATACACATGTGTATAATATATATTCTTATCCATTAAACACTAATAAAATAGCTTATGTTCGATATAGAATGTATTGGACAATTACACAAGCACAATACTGTAAACTAATAATTTAACATAAACAAAATTATATATATTTATAATCTTCATCGTTGAAAACATCGGTTAACTAAAACAAAAATTATTGGACGTAAAGAGAAAGTAAAATTTTTAATCTGTTTGATCAGTCCGAAATTGAGTAATGATATAATGCAAGATGACAATCGAGATTATAAAATATAATTTCTACTACAACATTTCTATTTACAAGGGGATTTCTATGCTCCTTTCTCTTAATAATTATTTACATTAATTTGTTACAACTCATTCAATCATAATTTTTCAATTGTTTCACTTTTCTTTGCGCCTCTGTTTCACCTTCTGTGCCATAAAGATGAGATCGGTGCTTCATTTCAGTCGCAACAGACTTTAATAAACCAACAGAGAAACAGAAAAGAGTAAACATAAGAACAACGTAAGTAATAAAGGGAAAAAAAGAGATAATCAAATAAAAAAACCAAGCAAAAACATTACATTATGATATTAATTTCTAACCAAACTCACCAAACGAGAACGCACTCTTTTTGGCATTTCTTCTTGTAAACTGTAAATGTCATTACGCTTTAAAATAAGTTGAGAACCATCCTCAAAAATCACCTATAAATAGAAAAAATGTAAATCGCAATTAATAATTAAGTAATCAATAAGGAATAAATTAATCTCTATATATTGAGATACTAAAAATTACTTACAGTGAACATTATTCGATGATTTGTACCTTCAAAGACAGCATTATATATTTGACCGTCTGTCCAGTTCACCGTCACTGCGGCTCCAGGTAGAGGTGTATTTCCGGGTTTATAGTTCTAAATAAGTATAAAATATATGTATAAGTATAAAAATATGAGAGCATGTCGCAAATAATACTGTATGCTTTAAAACAAATTTTAACCTTTAATCATTAAAGAAATTGATTGTAACTATGTAAAAATTGGATTAAACTGATAAGAATGCAATGTTAAAACTTACGGTTACATCTATAGGATACAAATCATCACTGAAGCTTTTATCATCAAATGTAACCATATAAAAGACGGTATCCTCGATAGCTGCTACTTTGGCTTGATAATATCGTTTGTTACGATGCTTTGCCCAAACTGTTTCTCCTTGACGTATCTGTGGGATCTTTTCTTTACCTTCATCATGTTCATTACACGTTACCTAAATGCCATAACATTGACGTTAACATTTAGAAGCTTATAGATATAATCGTGTTTTACAAAGGAGTTTATGTTTTATTTAGAAAATATTGTACCTGAAGTTCCTCTGAAGTATACACTGGTATGCTAAATGTAGCGCCTGTCGCGAGACCACAAGACGGATGAAACACATTATTGCACTGATTACATTTCAGACACGCTCCACCATCTTGACTGCAGAAACAACATTTCTTGTTTATTGAGTCCGCGACGATCGTTAATACATTAATAGGATCTTTATTTATGGCATCTTTAAATGTGGCTCCTGGTACCATAAGCGTACATAAGATATGCGCCCATCTGCTATCACTGGTACGCTTTAGTGGACCACCAAACATTGGACACATACAACACATCTGTGTTTCGTAATAACAAAACAAAATTAGATAAGACATAATGTTTAATGAATGACAAAAACAAAAAAAAATAGATTTGTTAAACACTAACCGCATCGCTTCTGCCAGCTTTACACCTGTCGCAGGCCCAATTTTGGATATCCGTAGGTAATATAGTTATACCGTAACAAGATGCATGAACAGTTACGTGACATTCTCTGCATCGTAAAAGTTTGTTATTCTCTGATTCCATAGCCTGTTCCTTAGAGTTTGCTGCGTAGATAGTGGCTGGCACCTAATGCATATAAATTATTTTTCAATAAATACCTTTGCAACTTTTGCTATATACTCAAAAGAAAATTGTTACTGAGAAATTGATAATTATTAAGTGTTATTTTCTTACCCATATTGGTGTACTTTCAGGTAGCGTAGTTGATGTGCAATATTTCCAATCAGGTGGCATCATTCTACTGCTTCCGCTTGTACACAAGGCAAAAGTAGCACATATTGCACAATGGGACACTTGAGCGCTCCAATAATCATTGAATGCTTTTAGCAGATCATTGTTTGGTACATTCGGATAAATCATATCAGAAATATGCCCTGGGATTACCGATGTTGGCTGAGAATTACAGAATTGCGGCATATCGGCAGATTGTGTTGATATAGATTTATCTTTTATGGGTTCTATCACCAAAGCAACAGTTGGAGTAGCAATAGGCATAGTAGTAACCGCAGGAGTAACACTTATGGGAGTATCGGTCATAGAAGTAACATTTGCAATAGCTGGAGGAGCAACTGTTGCAACATTTGCAACAGCTGGAGGAGCAACTGTTGCAATATTTGCAATAGCTGAAGAAGGAACTGTTGCAACATTTGCAATAGCTGGAGAAGCAATTGTTGCAACATTTGCAATAGCTGGAGAAGCAACTGTTGCAACATTTGCAATAGTTGGAGGAGCAACTGTTGCAATATTTGCAACAGCTGGAGGAGCAGTATTCACAGGAACAATAGTCGAAGGAGCCATATTCACGGGTATAATAGTCTTTGGAGCAATAGCCAATGGTTGTTTTCTTCTTGTTGTAGCTTTTTTTTCTTTGGATTTCTTTCTTAAAATAGGTGCTTTATGTTTTGATTTAGATGAATTTAAATGTAAACAAAAATCTGTTTGCTTTTGTAAATCTTGTACTTGTGTCTTATTGTCAGATATATTTAAATGCTCATCTTCATGTAACATGTCTTTTTGCGTATTTGTAATTCGTGATAGCACATTTGAATCGCTCATATTTATTCGTGTATCAGTAGAATTATTAATTTGAGTTTCAACGAAAGTATTCACAGTGTTAGCTTGAGAAGTATTCGGAGATGCATTATTATTTGACTTATTATTTTTTGCCGATGTTTTCCTACGTGACGTTCCTTTTTGCAGCCTATGACGCGTTGGTGCATTCTTAGTAATTTTTGACATAGCTTGTTTTGAACTGGTTTGAACAGTAGATGCAGGTAACAAAAATGCCGGTATATCAGTGTTTTTATTTTGCACACACGAACTTATAGGTATCAATATAGGCCGAGGACCTACCAGGGTAGATAACATTGGAAATTGCGATATTGTATTAGGTATTGGATTTGTTTGTGATGCTATGGATGATGAATTTAGAAAAGGAATGATATTCGATTTATCTAATGCAACTGCTTGAGACGTTTTAGGAGCATTTGGATATATATTTTGCAAGGATGTCTCTGTTAATTTCTTAGAACTGTTGCTCGTATAAGGTAAATTTCCCAAATTTATTTTCATCTTTAAATTTGTGTTAGGCTGTTTAAATGGATTAATATTTGGAAACGTGTGCTTGCAATTGATATTGGGCACCTGAGTAATAGCAGTATCAGGTGGAAGTCTCTGAATAAGTGAAAATTCTAACGAAGGTGGAGCATTTTGAATTGTGCTATCGTTTTTTATATACTGCATTTCCGTTTCATCTTGTAAAACTGGAGGTTTAGGGTAAGCTGGTCGTAAAATAAGAACATTACTTTTTTGTGAATGTTCAACATAAATCTTTGATTGCATAGGTTGTTGCATCTGCTGATTTTCAGTTTGTGATTTGGGAGGTATAATCGATGACGGTACATTCAAACGAGGTGCTTTTAGCAAGCTTTTATGAGTATTACTTTGTATTGTCCCGCTTTCTGTAAACACATCCATATTTTTGTCGTTTACATTTGTAAACTGTTCTATTTGAGCAACCATGGTTTTTTCGTTCTGAGACTCAGAATTTATGTTTTGTTCATTAGCAAAACAGTTCTTTTCAAAATTTCTATTTGTAAATGTCATTTTTGAAGAATCACTGCTATCATTTGTCGGTGAAATAGTTATTCTGCTTTCTGTAGCACTCGTTAATTCTGTCATGTTTTTTTTGTCATTGTTAAATACAGAACTTTTTATCGGATTAGTATTAGTTGTACTCGTAGTTTTCTTATTAAGCTCATTACTAAGCGAAACGCTTAACTGCATTAAATTAAATTTTTCTTGGTTATTATACGTATTATTTATAGCATATATGTTAAGATCATCTAATGCTTTAGCTTCAGTTTGCACAGTAGCATCTGAAACGTTTGAAGTTGATGCATCGAAAAACGATATATTGTCGCGTTTGCGTTTACTTTTGGACACACGTTTTGGCTTCAATTTCTTCTGCTCATTATGTTTAGTATGCTTCTTTTTTCTTTTACCATCTTTTTCAATAACTGAAGGATTAAAATCATTTAAGGGATAACCCTCTATTTTTAGAGGATCTATAGGATCAGTTTTTATAATAATTTCGTCATTGTAATTTCCTTGAGGTACAGGAAATTCTTCCATATTTTCCTGGGATATATATTCAAAAGTAGACATATCATCTTCAGTTTTAACTACATTCACATTTTGTGCATTAATTTTGCTGGCTTCCTTCTTAGATTTTGATTCAATTTTTGGTTTTTTTTCTTTATCTCCATTTTGTTTTTTCTTTCTTTTCTTGCTTTTCTTGCGATTGTAACCATCATCATAGACAGTTGCTTCATCAATTTCTAAAATAAAAGTATATGATTAATAAAAATTTGCGAATCGCTATACGTGAAATATGTAATAACAAAGATTACAATAACAAATATAAAAATATACAAAATGTATTATTTTACCCATTTCTCCTGCTTTTAGCCAAATATCTTCTAGAACCTCTAACTGTTGTTCATCTGGTGGTTCTTCTAGTTCATCAAATTCAATATCTTGTAAGGCCTTTTTAACATCAGGTGGAATATCCGCACGATTCGCAAGTTCTTCCATGTTTATACCAGGATTCGTGCGTATAATATTCTTTTTCTTATGAATCATATGTCGCTTATTTTTTGGTGTTGCACTCAAATAGCCTTGTGGTAATTCACCATTGCTATTATTACTACATAATAGATCCATTTGTGACGGCATTGGTGCAGCAGTCTGCCTAGGATCTTCAGGATGAGAACCAACATCCTCACCACGTAGCCACAATTCATACCTGTATAATCAGGATTAGTTATAGATAGTAAATATTTGAATGTAAATGTATTGAGTTTAGTAATATAATATTATAAAATTAAATTATTTTTAAATAATTTAGATACATGCCTATCTGGTTGAAAACGTTTCACAAAAGTATCCATAGATATTTTGACCATATCTTTACTGCAGGTACATTGCGTAGCTCTCTTTCCATATTCTACCCATCTAGGTGCTGCAAAATTAGTAGATTCGGCGCAATTGAATCCATGATTAAAACCGGCATGATAACCATATGGAAATGTAATCATTATTTCTCCAGCTTCCTGCGTTATCTGCGAGAATACGAAAGATACATAAAATGCTGACAAAAATATAAAATTAAGCAGCGTAAATAGAAAACAAACTTACTTTATTACATGGAATAGAATACTGCCTTAATATTTGAGGAGATATAAGAGACATTTTATGGCGCAAGAAGGCTTGGCAATTTTGATAGCTGGTTGGGAAAAAGCCGCTAGCTAGTCTCTCTAATCTACGTCCATGTTCTGGAGGTATAGCGTACCACGTTTTCGGCGCACCAAAATGTAAATAATTTATGGAATATAGATCCATATCTTCTGTATGCCAGGCAAATGTAGTTTTCCACATTCCAAAATACAAATAAGCTGTATTAACGCCATCAATGGATATACCGTAATCCTTATTAACGTAATCCAGAATTGTTCCTAAATGATTGATGTTCCATTCTTTCACATCTGGATCCGTTAAAGAACCAGATACGTCTGCGCCATATATCGGCGCCACATACGTTATATTCTTCCAGTATTTCCTCTCCAAATCTTCATAGTCAAAATGACGAGGAGTAGCATAACGATCAGAATTGGCTAACTTACTATATTCTTGAACAGTCATTGACTTCTTTTGAATATTAATTTGTTGATAAAGTCCTTGTTTTCCAGTGACAACTTGGCAGATTGGTGCTGGGATAGTAAGATCTAACTCATCTAGATTATAGCCTTTCTTCCTGGGAATCCATTCGGGTGGTGGTATTACTTTTGCCAAACCAGCCTTATGAGCTCCTCGACTTTCCATATATTCCACATATTTCGTAAAATCTTTAAATTCCTCATATGTTGGTCTAAAGACCTGTATACGAGGTATCCCTCTTGCATTACTAGCCATTGTTGAATTTATTATAACTGCGAATAAAAAATTTTTAAAGTTTGTAATAACATTATAAAAAATTTTAATTATTAGTATAATACTATAAATATTAATAAAAATACATATTACTTTTAAGTTATTATTAATTATACATCGTTGTTAATTGCCATTTAATTCAGGATTGGAAAAAACCTGGGCTTTTTAAAAAAAAACTCAATCCATTGGGTTTTATGGGGGTTTTATTGAGTTTTTAAAGTT